TGGTCTTTAAGTAGACCGAGGATTCTGTATCCTAAGGGAACGCTCTTTTCTCCTATAAGCAAGGCCGTAAAGGTATGCTGGCGTGTAAGCGCAATATTGATGTTTTGTTTTTACAGTGGAGTTTTTGGTGGCCTGGTGGTTTTTCTTCTGTTGCTGATTTTTTATTTTTTAACAATAAACTTTTTATTTTTTTTTTTTTTATGTCTTTTTTAAGGGATGCTGATTAAAAATGAACTAATTTTCTCCCTCATGTATGTTAGTGAGCCACGGGGGATGTCTAACACGAGATCTGGAAGGACTACCATAATTCTAAGAAAAGCAGTCAGAATGTTGTTTCGGACAAAAAATAGTTCCATTAGATAAGATAATGGACGAATTCTTTATTAATAGAATTTATATACAAGCGGCCTTAAGTAGATTTGGTGCACTAATGAAGTGGAAACACAATAAAACGATAATCTCAAACTTTGTGAATTAAGTTCCTGGGAAAAGGAAGTCCACGTGGTGTTCAAGGACTCGATGAGGGTGCAAAAGATATGTTGGTCGCGACCATGAAAACATTGGCTATATAGTAGTTAAAGACAAGATAATCAAAGTGCTCAAAGAAAGGTGATCCTATAATTCTACCTTGACAACTTCAATGGCAGGCGAGTATAACATTCTTGAGTTACAACTTAAATACAGTGCGCGTCAAAATTTTAAGACACCCCCCTAAAAACACGTTTTATAGAATTGTAAATATTACACTCGTTTTATTTTGTTACAATAAACTACTGCATGATTTTATTTTTCTAATATAAGCTAACTACAAAGCGCTTAAAAAAATAATTAGTCTTACAATTAAACGGTAGTCTTATTTAACTCAAATCTTAAGATATAAGCACATGTTTAAAACAATAATATCTATTATTTATTGTTTTTTGATTAAGAAAAGTAATTTTAAACTTCTTTAATTTTTCTTAGGGACATGATGGTTTTGATGTTTTTTTGAAAAAAATTACTTATCTCCTATTGAGCAAGGAAATTCTTTAGGTGAGTATGAAAAAGGACAGATTGATGCTTTTTTCTAATAGGAATAAATAGTAAGTAAATAAGTGCTATATTGGACAGAAGCAGGACCGCAATTAGAAATTACCTGCCTTTAAAGAATGTAAATAAACTACTAGCAAAAAAGAAGGAAAAGAGCTTCTTTTTTTAGAAGGCTAAAAAAATTCAAATTTTGGGTTCTAATAAAGCCATAACTATTTCTAAAACTAAGGCTAAATTGGTTCATTAGTATCAAATTCTACAGTTTTAATAGCAATTAAAGAAAATAATTGTCATGTGTATAAAAAAATGGGACAGAGTCCGAATTTAAAAGAAGTGCATTAATTAAAAAGGTTTAATTTTGCTTTAGATAAAATTTTATGAACTCGTCAATGGCATAAAGTTATATTTTCTGATAAAAAAACTAATTTAGACTATCTAGATGGCTTTAAATATTATTGGCATCATGTAAATAAAGAAGTAATTTCATATAGTGAGCGTATACAGGGCGGAGGGGGCATTATGGTTTGAGCCAGTTTTTGTTCTAGTGAACAATTAGTTTTACAAATTGTTAGTAACAAAATGAACAGCACTTCTTATTGTAAAATGGTTGAAACTTCTCTATTAGCATTTATTGAAGGTAAAAGTAATAATAATATTAATGATGTAGATAGCGATTTAAATTATATTTTTCAACAAGATAATGCACCTTGCCATCAGCTCGTGCAATTAAGATATGGTTTGAAACAATAATATTGATTGTATGAACTGGCTACCATTAAGTCCAGATCTTAATCCTGTTGAAAATTTATGAGCAGATATGTCGAGAATGATTTATAGAGACGGGAAACAATATAATGGTATTCAAGATTTATATTCTGCGATATTGGCAGTCTGATCAAGTATTACACACGAAAAACTGTTTAAATATGTCAGTGGAATGCAGAAGCGTATGATTGATGTTGTTAAAGAAAAAGGTGATTAATCAATAAATAATTTTTTTTTTTTTATAAATTATTTTTTTTAAAAAAAAACATCAAAACCATCGCGTATTTGAGATACATTGAGGAAATTTAAAATTACTTTTTAAATAAAAAACACTAAACAATAGATATTATTATTTTAAGAATGTGTTTGTATCTTAAGATTTGAGTTAAATGAGACGTACCGTTTAATTGTAAAACTAATTACTTTTTTTAAGCGTTTTGAGTAGCTTGGATAAGAAAAATAATTTCATGCAGTGGTTTATTGTAACAAAATAAAATGAATGTAATATTTACAATTCTATAAAACGTGTTTTTTTTTGGGGGGGGGAGTGTCTCAAGATTTTGGCGCTTCTCTTAAGACAAAAAAATCCAGAAACCAGATTAGACATATATAAAATAAGATTAAGAAAAAGGTATTTTTTTAAATTGTTTTAATTACAACGTTTAAACACGAATAATGATTTAAGAATTGTATCTCGTTCGATTTTGCACGGAAAAAAAATTTTTAGAAGTCTTAAGATTTTGTCGCGCACTGTATAATGTGAAAGAACGAGAGAAAATGTTTTTTTAACCCTCGTGGGACTGTGTTTAAGTAACATCCATAATTTAATTATATATTTTGAACAGACGACTATAAATACTGTTAGAGCAATTTTTTCGCTTTGTAGGGTAAGGTTTTTTTGGTTCATTATTCTCAAGCAGTTTATAAAAACCTTTTTGCCAAAGGATTAAAACAAAATTATCTAGGTGGCACAACATTTGGGTAGTATATTAAATGCATAATAAATTTGTCATCTATAAAGTTTGAATATGAATAATTTTCATAAATTTTCATAATTATTTAATACTTCAGAGAATTATACGTGTAAGAATAAATGCTTTTTAACTTTTTTTAAAAGAAAATGGATTTTTAATAATTTCTTCCAAAATTTAGATATAACAGTTTGTAAAAAAAATAATGCAACTCTGATTACTTAAAAAACGATATAATTATACATTAGAATACATAATTTGGATCGTGGGTAATATTTGACGTACTAGTTTTTATGGGTAATATCTGACGTACAGGTAAAAGATGCAGTTTTTAAAAAAAGAAAATATTTTAAAAAAATAAATAATAAAAATTTTTAATATTGTTAATAAATACAACAGAACATTTTCTCATGCATGATTTGATTTTTCCATATTATTACTTTAAAAAAAGGTCAAGCTGATTTCTTCTTATACCTCTCATATTATTCAATTTTAACTTTGCCTGAGACAAACAAGATTCAATATTTTGTGTAAAAACACCCGTGATTGAATTAACACAATTAAATAACTGATTTTGTGATATCCACCACATTTATTTTTGTTTTATTAAATATTTAAAATATGAATTTTCTAGAATTTTTTTTATTATTAATAAATTTTCATAAAAGAACGGTATGAAATTTATTGGTAGCAAGAATACTAATACAGGGTTTACAAAGATAGAGCCTTAGACTAAAAATTAAGCTAATAAAATAAAATGAAGCTCTTCTATCCGTTTCATATTGGAACAATGTTTTCGTTTTGGCCACCTCACTAGAAGTTACACCAGATTTACATTAAAGTGTTCAAACCCCATTCATTCATACATTATTCTCCTATATGCCGCCCAACAATCACTAAAAATTACAGTACCAGATCTACAAACGCACGAAATTATTGGAGGCAAAGTTTTAGTGGTTCAATTATTAACGACTTTGATATAAATCTTTGCAGGCCTAAAACTTAAATCTGCGATTTTAGAGACCCATCTTTCATTTTTAGGCTGCTTTCCACCACCATTTTTTTGTTTGTGATAAAAAAGACTTTCATCTATTTGGCAAAAAACCCCGAGACCGCCAAGTTTTACTGGTTCATTTGTAAAATGCAGACCAATTAAATTCTGTATTTTAAAATAAATTTATCTGATGGTTTTCCTATCAATTTCGTATCTGTATGCAGCGTCACCCACTTGCACGCTTTCACTCCACATCAAAACAGTTGTAATTGTTCAAACGTCTGCCAATGGAAGTCGAAATCTTTCAAAAAAGAACCCATTCTTAAAAAAGAAACCGCCATACCATGTTTAGAACATAGTTGATTACAAGGATCATGTAAACAATCTGATTTTTTAAACGCAAAAAATAGATTTGAATTTTATAGCCCGATAAATTATTTGGCGCTACTTCATCGTTCCTCTCCCTTGTTTTTTAAAAAAAATTATTATAATTTTTAAAAAAATGATTGGCTACAAAAAAATTAAAATCTAAACATTTTTAATAGTCTATATAATGCAGTCCTAAACGTCTTGTATCGCTGTTTTAGATATTTTTTTTCCTCCGTTTCCATTCATTTAAAAAAAATTCATTCTCCCTTTATTAATATCGCCACGTTTTCAATAAGCATGCTTAAGATGTGACCACAGGTTTTCAATTTGGTTCGTATGCGCTTCTTGAGCATTAACAAACCCAACCGAGTGATTTACCACTTCATGGCAAGATCCAAATTAGGTAACAACCCTGAGGTAAGATGGATAACCATCGGTAACAATGATAGATCCGGGCACAACATATTCTTCGAACATGTCTAGTATAGTCGGAACCTTTATGTCAGGAACAAGCTTTATAACAAAGTTCCTACAGTTTCCCTCTTCTACACCTCCCACTAACCATTGTACGCTAGGTTTGTTGTCTAGAGTACTAGATGGATCAGGTATTAACTCCCCATTATAGATAGCAGTTTCGTCAAACTGCATCCCAATACCTTCTCCACATGTTTTAACCATTTCCGGCTCTTGTTCGGATATTACTTGCAAGATCAGGTCTTTGATTTTAATATAGGCAGTCTCCGCACAATCGCAGAAATCAATGACCCTTGCTAGGGTATAATCATATGCCCAGCAATACATTTTTCTAAGAATTTTTACAAATTCCATATTCGGGATGGCCATTTTAGACCCCTTCTTTGGGCTTGCCTTTGATCTGCATGCCTTAGAAGAGCATCTGTAAGCATACCCGTCTATATACGTGGCAACCACCATAATCCTCATTCTTCCATCACCCCTCATACAATTTATTTCTTGTTTTATAATATTAATTTCTAGAAAAAGTTCTATTGTCTTGGTATTTTTGAGAAAAAATGCTTCACTAAATTTAAAACATAAAATTATTTCTTCTAGCTGATCCATAATAGGGGTTAAAAAATTATTTTTTTTTACCTTTACTCCATCTTTCCACCCCCCCTCCGAATAACTACGTTCACTTTAAAAAAATTCTGTACGTAGTTATTCTGAGGGGAATGGAAAGATTGAGTAGCGCCAAAAAAATCATAGCGAGTCGAAATGACCATAGCGGGACGAAACGGGATCTATCATTTAGTTTGATAATTGGGGTATGTTTATTAATTCCTTTTAATATTGTTCTGTTAAAACGCTTGATTCTGCCATTTGATTGATGGTGATGTGTGGAGGTGATATGTCTTATTATGTCATTAATTTTATACCATTCCGAGACTTTTTTGCTGGCATTCCCTTTCGCCGAACCACATATTAATCTTTTACTATTTATTTATTCTTTTACTTTTGCAAAAAACTTACAGTATTCTTCGTTTTTCTATTTCTCAATACTTCTGCGAATTCATATCTACTAAAAAAATCTATTGCCGTAATAATATATTTATCCTCATAAGGTTCTATGATATTAAAATTAACCTTTTCTCCTACCTCGTAGCAGTTAATGTAATGTGGTTTATTAACTTTAATTAGAATGTATAATTTACATTCTACACAATTACTTAATACTTCTTTTACTAATTGATACGATACTTGATCTCTGTGTGCCTTATTGTATTCCTCACAGTTAATCTAGCACCCCTATACACTATTTATTGAAAAAGCTTAAAATTGCCTTTTGATTTTCTTAAAATAAATTATCTTTCTTATTAAAAACCCTTTTCTCCTTTCTATTCGTTCTAGCTTGATACAATTCATCACCTATTGCATCTTTCTCTTTAATTTTATCATGAAGCGTTTTAGTAAACTTCTTTTCATCACAAATCGCCAATTTTATTTCTGTAATGTTTTTCATTAAACCTTTCTTTAAAATTTCCAAAATAATGTCTTCTTTTAGTTTCAGCTGTTTTCCTTCTTTTTCCATTTTTTTAAAAAACTCAAATGCAGAATCCTCTCTTTTCTGTTTAATATCTAAAAGATCTCATCGTAATAGTCCTTCCCAATGTTTCTAAAGCTTTTTCTTTCTATGATTCAAAAGACAAATCAATTACTTTTAGGATTTAAATTCCTCTTTATGCCATTGAATAAGCGTATCACCTCCTTGGAACAGCATACTATATATTTTTTCTTTATCAGACATTTTATCAAATCCAAGGTTATAATCTCTTCTTGCTATATCTAGTTCAAGATTCTCCGTAGATATTTTATTCCATCTTTATAAAATTTCTTTTAAACTTATCTTTATCATTTTGATCCATATTCTCCACCATGTTATGATTTGTAAGTTGAGGGTTATTTATTTATAATATTTCCGTAACAGCTGTAACATACAATTTAAATAAGAAAAGGCGCATGAACATTTTTCTCGTTTTAATCCTGTTTAAACGGATAATGTTACCTAAACTTTACTATAAATAATTAATAATTTTTCAACCTTAATAAAATTATTGAAGAATGTATCCGAAAAAAAAACACATTTAAGAATTTTAGCAATTAATTATTTTTCGATAACAAAAGCTTTCTGTATCAAAGGAGCGACACGCACGTAACTTTAAACGTAATTCAACTAAATTATTTATTTTACTTACATTTTTCCTATTATTTTTACTATTTGTAGATATACTATTTTTAAAATTATTTATTGCATCTGCCGTGTCTATGTAGAATGGTGCGGCCTTATAGGAACGAAAGGTATATAGACTTGTGTGTATAAAGCCTTTGTAGAAAATATATTTTATTTAAAAGTTTCTTAAAATACTTTTATTATTGATAAAAGGATTTTATTGGTTATTAGAAGAACCAATACATTGTTGTAATTAAAAGTTCTTTTATTGGCTACCGTCGGTCAGCTCCTGGAAGGCATTGTTATGGATAGCCATAACATGTTTTCTTGTATTAATTGGTGACGTTAGAAACCATGTTACAAATATGAAACTAATTTAACGTGAATCTTGAAAAAATAATTGGTTTATGTCTATTTGTTTTAGATTTATCTAAAATAAAAGCTATAAATTGATAAAAAATTATCTAAAAATGGTGATGGTTCCTAAATCAAAACGGTGCTTGTTCCAAATATAAATACTGAACAGACTAAGCTGTTTAGAAGGATAAGAATTGTTGAAAGGCATGTTTATTTCATGTAAATTTCTTTTTATAGTTTTATCCCCTTAATCGGATCCAAAAGCTTTCAAGATATTGATAACGACGTAGCGAAACCAATCATTTGCTTAGATATTACTGAGGTGCTTACTAGAATAACCAGTAGTTTAAAATACATTTCTAAATAATTTTTTATTAATGGCTCTATTGACCTAATACTATTAATACTGCTCTCCTTGTAGCTAGTATTTTTGTTATAACCGTTCTTATTATCGGTTCTTCCTCTCATATATATTTGTATAGGGGTAAAATATTTATATTTTAAAAAATTCTAGAAAATAACTTTTTTTTTACATGTGATCTCATACCACAATTTACCAATGGATATCCATCTTATAACACATTCATTTCTATTGGTGGCTGTATGCACAACAAATGGTTTAATAAACGATTAAATAAAAAGTTTTTTTTATTTTGGTATCTTGGTCGAGTACTATCTAAAGAATAATTCACTGCCAGCTATTTCCGGCAAACATGACATCCTTTTTTACAAAATTTTATTTATTTCTTATTTTTAATTTATACTTGATATCCTAAACTAAATTGTTGAAATATTTAAGAATTGGTAATGATTTGATTTATATTACAAAAAGCATTTTAGAAATTTATTTAAAGTTTAAAACCCTACCTAAAAGTACGATATCAAGTTTTTATTTTTTTTAAAATTCATGTCTTTTAAAGATTCATTTTAGCAATAAAAATGAAAAAGAAGGATAAAAAAAATTTGGCTCCCTTCAAAATCTGCATAATAAAGCTGGTTTTAGTTAACTATGTTTTCGTTCAGTTTATGATGGTATTAATTAAATACTTGACCAATAAGCTGTTCTTATCGCTGACTGCTTTTTACAATGGGTCACATGTAAAATAAGGTTTCTCCTTGCAATATAAATGTTGATTTTTGGAGTAAAGGATGTTTCTAACTGTGGTATTTTACCACAACAATAGATTTATTCTCACCTCTCCTCTTTCCCGTTTATTAATCACTGAAACCTTTCGTTTTCACTTAAAACCCACTTCCTACATCAGGTTTCAAACTCAAACTTTGTTTCAGCAACGAAAATAAAAACTATATTTAAATAAACGAAATTAAATTTAATAAAATAATTTTCCAAACAAACATTTTTACGGTCACCACCCCAACAAACAAAGAAATAATTTTTTTAAGTTCAACAAAAATATTTTTAATTTGGTAGGTTATCTAAATATTACCTAAAAATAATAAGCGATCTTTCATTTTAGTACTTTTTTAAAAATTGAGCTTTTATTACAGACAAAATATAACATATAATTTGCTTAATTTTTATTTATAAATAGAAATTTAATTTTATAGCATTATTTTCCGTAAGAATTTTATGAAGATCCTCAAGGTCTTCGCCTTCTTTAGATAAAGGGGAAAGATTTAAATCAATATCATAAGTTTCTAATAGTTCATCAGTAAAATAATTGTAATCGAATAGTTCATACATAAGGGTAATTTTAAAAATTATTTTTAAAGCTAAAATTTAACAACCTTATTAGTAAATCTAAATTTGTATAAAAAATTAATATTAAATTATTAAGTTGAAATATTGATTTTTATTTCAATATTATATCTTAATTTTATGCTATTACTTTTAATAAAAGTTATCGTCAAAAGCCTTAACAGTATTTTACTTTATACAAAGAAGAAAAACATAAATAACAGGGGATTGACGTATTTATTCGGAACTGTTTCGCTATTTAATATATTCTAAAATATTTTTTACTGTAGACTACTGATGGCTTTCTTTACTATAAATAAGTAATTTATTGTTTTAATTACACTTGTTATTCAAAAAACTCATTGGTCTAGTCCTCTACAAGTTAAGGGTAAATTTATTTAATTTAAAAAAAAATTTAAAATTTTCATTTTTTTTAGAAAATTCCAATTTTTATGATTTTATAAAAATTTAAATTTTTAACATGTGAAAGATTCCGCAGGCTTTAATAGAAAAAAAAATAAAATTTATGTGGAGAATAAGAGATGTATCATTTAATAAGGATTATTTTTTTGACAATTCTATTAATGCAAATTTTTCATAAAAGTATCTTAAGCATAGCATTACCTAAGATTATAACATAAAACTTGTTCCAAAAAGAACGGAACATAAAGCTTCCCCGTATAAACTGACTAATAAAACTATCTAATTCAGTAAATTATTTGAAAAAATATTTTAAGAGCTTTATTTATTTATATTTTTTTTAACCGATGTAAAAAATTTAATTTTCTGTTTTTTTATAAAAAGGTGTTTAAAAACATGTATTTTTCTAAAAGAAATTAAAAATGATCTGTAAATTTTAACTTCAAATCTTATTTATTTTACAATTTTTTTTCAATCCCCAATGCAACTTACGCCTGAGCCCATATTAAAATTTTTTGTCTTATGATCAAAAAATGATACAGGCCAAAATAGCCGAACAAATTGGTGTATCTAATAGCACTGTTTCAAGACTTCTTTCTAAGTACAAATAATTGAACAACTTGTGTATTTAAAAAGAAATGTAAAACCAAAGACTCTTTTAAAGAATAATATTAATATTTTTTTTGCTTTAAATAAGTAAAAACCTAAAACTTCTTTGAGAAAGTTATTAGTTGAATTTTTAGAAAGAATAAAAAAAAGTATCTTATTCAACTTAAAAAAAGCACTCAATTTTTATGGTTTTGATGCATACCTGGCAACAAAAAGGCCTGTCCTATCAAAAAAATATATTTTAGCAAGAAAAGAAAATTCATTTCATGTCTGATGAAGCTTAAAAACCATAATTTTTCCGATGAAAGTAAATTTAATCCTACTGGAAATTATAATAGAGTTTTTACTTGGAGAAAGACCCGTATCTTTCTCCAAAAAATATTATTGCTACAGTTAAATGCGGAGGAGGCTCTGTAATGATATGGGGATGTTTCTTGTATCATGGAATAAGGAAACTGGTTTTTATAGATTTTAAATTATTTCTGTAGCATATATGGATATTTCGGCTAACAATCTACGTTTGTAAGCCGAGAAAATGGGAATAAAAACATTTATTTTTCAACAAGATAATAATCCGAAACATACATCAAGACTTGCCAAGAACTACTTTATCAAAAAAAAACGATCTGCTTTTTTGTCCACCACAATCTCTTGATTTAAATCCAATATAGACATTTTGGGTTATTATAAATAGAAATTATCTAAATTAATTATAAAAACTAAGGAAGAATTAAAAGCTGCTATACAGGCGTTATGGAATTCAATAACTGTATAAACTTGTCAAAAAATAGCATTAAGTTTTAAAAAAGAGCTATAAATGCCATGAAGCTTTGGGTCAATACATCCAGTATTAATTTTAAAATTTAGTCATGCTTTCAGAACACTTTTTTATCAAAAACGGAAGATCGATTTTTTTATGACATTTAAGAAAAATATAAATAAAAGCTCTCCAAATAACTTTTTTAAATAAACTTATAAAGTGTGTTAAATTTATTGAACAATTTATACTGGCAAAATTTATGTTATGTTTTTTTTGAAACACGCTGTATGTATTATAATTGTAAGCTTGTTATAGAAGCAATATCACAGCTAAGTAGTCTGTTTATAATTTTTTTTGGTTTAATACACAACACACTAAAAAAGTTAAAACACGGATTTGCAATTAATAGAAGGTTTAGTAAAAAACAATTTAATCTTTTGTTTAATTTACGACAAAAATGTTGCTTTAAAGAGTTGGTTTAAAATAATACTTTCATTTTATTATAAATATTTAACAATTTTAATTGGCGTTGTTATGATTAATTGATTAAAAGTTATTTTTTTAGAATCTTTATCTATAACCTAAAGAAACAAAAAGTGTACAATTATTTGTTATAAAATGACTCTGAGAGTAATTTCTCAAGATAAAAAAGCTCTAAAAAGATATTTTTAATAAAAAATGTATAAATTTAGAAAGAAATAAAAAATACTTGCATTGACTAAATGATTAAATATATTTGTACATTTTGCTTATAGACTTCTTTAATCGATTATTATTTCAATGACATCTATTGTGTCAATATGCTTTTTATATGTTAGATACAAAAATAAAAACATCTAAAAATATAGACCTGCAAATTACAATATTTTTTAGAAGCTATAGTAAAAATATTGGATTTAAAGTTATTTATGACGAATAATGTCGACTTTTGCATATTGCAATATTTTAACATATTTAATTTTTATCAGGTTAAAAGTTAAATTTGTTTTTACTAACAATGAAACACAATAGTGTAAAGAAAAGTAAAAATATAAATTTTAAGTTGAGTTTTGGTTCTATTTTTGGTATTTAAGTCTTTTCCCTCATATTTATATTCTAGGGAAGTTTTTCTTAAGTATTTATTAAAGTTAGTTGTTTAAGACATTTAAATTTTACCAAGATCAAAAACCGTTTTTATAAATAATTGCATTCAAATGTTTATAGCCATCTTTAATGGATTATTATCAATTAGTTGTCTATTAAACAACCTGTCATTTTTACTCGTTCACAATCTTGAAAAACAGCCTATATATGAGAGTTTGTTCTTATAAATTAATATTTTACATCTATATTTTATCTTATAAGATTTTTTCATAGTAAGAATTCACAAATACTAACATATCTATAAAACAACAGTTTTCCGCCCCTTCATGAACAATGTTATGCTTCCAAAAAAAGCTCAAAAGCATCAATTTCCTGTAGAAGAAATTATTTTAAAAGACGATCATGAAAATTTTTCACTTTGGATAAATTATGATGCTTTAATTATTTTAGAAACTTTTAAACAAAATTCTAAACAAGCTAGTGATTTTCTTATTGCAATTGCTGAGCCCGTCAGTAGACCAAAATATATTCATGAATATCAAATAACAGCTTATTCTTTGTATGCGGCTGTAAGTGTAGGTTTATCAACAGATGATATTTTGTCTACTTTATCTTATTTCTCTAAAAATATAATGCCTCGTTCTGTTAAAAATTTTATAGTTGAATGTACGTTAAGTTACGGAAAAATTAAACTGGTAATTCAATTTAATAAATATTTTATAGAAGCCGCAAATAATGACATTTTAAAGAAACTTATTGATGATAAAATTATAAGATCCAATCTGTTTGTGACAGATAATTCGGTTGAGGTCATAAATGTTGAACTTGTTAAAAAACGTTGTATAGAAATTGACTATCCTCTTATTGAAGAGTACGATTTTAAAAATGATACAGTGCTTGAAAGTTTTTTTATTGATCTTAAACCTTCAACTATGATACGATCATATCAGGAGACCTGTCTTAATAAAATGTTTTGTAATGGTAGAGCTAGATCTGGAATTATTGTGCTGCCATGTGGATCAGGTAAAACATTGGTAGGAATTACAGCACTAACTACTATAAAAAAATCTTGTCTTATTCTATGTACTTCTGCTGTATCAGTTGAACAATGGAGACAACAAACAATGTTATTTACTAATATTTCCGGAGACAATATTTGTAGATTTACTTCAGAGTACAAAGAATGGTATAAAGATAAATGTGGTATTATTATTACAACTTATACAATGTTAGCTTATAACGGCAAAAGATCACCAGAAGCTCAAAAGATTATGGATCTCATACAATCAACTGAATGGGGGCTACTTCTTCTTGATGAAGTACATGTAGTTCCTGCTATGATGTTTAGAAAGGTTATATCTTTAGTTACTCACCATTGTAAATTAGGGTTGACTGCCACTTTAGTACGTGAAGATGATAAAATTGAAGATTTAAATTTTTTAATAGGACCAAAGCTTTACGAGGCAGATTGGCAAGATCTTAGTGCCAAAGGGCATATAGCAAAGGTTGAATGTTTTGAAGTTTGGTGCGGTATGACAGGAGAATTCTACAAAGAATATTTAATTCAAACAAGTCGTAAAAAAAGACTTTTATCAATTATGAACCCGACAAAATTTCAAGCGTGTGAATATTTAATTAGTAGACACGAAGCTAAAGGTGATAAAATTATAGTATTTTCAGATAGTGTGGCAGCTTTAAAATCATATGCTTTAAAACTAGGCAAACCTTTTATTTATGGACCCACTGGACAAACAGAAAGAATGCGAATTTTAAAGCAATTTCAAACTAATCCATTAATTAACACAATTTTTTTAAGTAAAGTAGGCGATACTTCTATTGACTTGCCTGAAGCAACGTGTTTAATACAGATTTCTTCACATTTTGGTTCTAGAAGGCAAGAAGCGCAAAGACTTGGTCGTATTTTACGAGCAAAAAGACGTAATGATCCAGATTTTAAAGTTTTTTTTTATTCATTGGTGAGTAAAGATACTGATGAAATGTTCTATTCGTCAAAAAGACAACAATTTTTAGTAGATCAAGGGTACAGTTTTAATATAATTACTGAAATACCGGAAATATATAAAAATGAAAATAGAGTATACAAAAGCAAAAGCCAACAAAAAGAATTACTAGTATCGGTATTGTTGTCATCAGACAAAGAATTAGAAAGCGATACTGAAGCAGATAATGAAGAAATTGGTGTTTATTCTGGTATTTTAAAAGGGTCTACAGGGGTGGATGGAATGGCTTACATGGAAACAAATGAACGAAATGATTTAGGAAAAAACAAAAGACGTCGTAAATAATTTTTTAAAAAGTTATTTTTTAATTACTTTTTTATTTCATCAATTATACTATTTTATATTTGTTGTAAAAAAACATGGGTTTATTTATAAAAATTACTAAAAAGTGTTTCTGTCAAACATATAAAATCTGATATATTTGACAGAACACTATAAAAACATCCTTATTCCTGTAATATTAATTTCAATTTAAATTAAAAAACAAAAGCTTTAAAATTTATATTTCTCGGTAATGATCAATTATATTGACTTTCAATGATCTATAAAATAATAATTAACAACTGTATTCTTGTAACTAAAAAACTTTATTGAAATTTCATACACAATCTTAATATTTCTCACTATAAAGGTCCTTCATATTATCTACATTCCTTATTGCATTATTATAAATAACTAATCGTTGACAAGATATTTCTAAATCTTCTTCAACCTTCATAAAACTGCCTGGATTACCAAATTTGCCTAAATAATCAGGTGCACCCCAAACAGTTACGACATTTCGATCAGGAAAATGAAATTTATAGCCTTCAAAAGCGAATTGATGACTTCTTATTATATTCGTCAAATCGTTACACTCCAAAAAAATATTACTAACATCACCGCCAAAAAGAAACCCTTTGTGTCGATTACTTTCCTTAAATCCCTTGTCGTCATGTGGATCACTCCATAAAATATCTTCATATTCATTGTTCGCATTAATTACAAATCTATTTAATCTTTTTAATTTATCTAAAGATATAGTTTTAGGAGATATTCCTCCGTGCACACAAAAAATTCTTCCGTCTACGATACATCCAATATTAAAAAAAGAGAATACCTCGCATAAAAGTCTCCAAATATTCACGTTATACTTTTTTAGTGTTTCATGATACAAGCCATAAGTCTTTGAAATATTTTTCTGCTCATGATTACCTCGCACTAAAAAAATATTACTTGGATATAAAATTTTATAAATTATAAGCAAGAATATACACTCAGTACTGTATTCTCCTCGATCGACATAATTACCCAAAAATATATATTTTTGTTTGCTAGGATCTCCTTCTCGTCGAAAAAGATCTACCAAATCAAATATCTGGCCATGTATATCGCCACACACCGAAACCGGGCTTGAAATATTAGGAAAGTTTGATTCTTTAATAAGTATTTCTATAACTTTCTCACATAATTGTTCTATTTCGTTAATAGTCAATAATTGCAGAGAGAGGATTTTCTTTATAAATTTTTGATACATTTAAGGGTGTCAATATAATAAGTTTAAGTATAAAATTAATTGTCTTAGATTATATAAAAAGATATATATTAAGTTAATTTAATAAAGAAAGTTAAATATATTTCTATGCACATAGAAATATATTACAAGACATTTATACAACAAGTGTAATATGTTTTATAAGGTAGGCTGTAATTATTATTTAGAAAAGTCTAGGAATACATTTCAATAATAATGCTCATATGCTTAAATATTTCATCTTAGATATACTAAGCACAAATAAAGATTGTCATCTTTAAATAAAAATATAATTATCAATAACACTTTTACTAACTTTGCTTTCTTCCTGCTTGAGGTAGAAAATATTAAAAATTTATACAATAATGTGCAACATTATTATACCTCGACAATAATAAATTTCCTGTGTTAATTCGCTTTTCTTATGCAGGCTGTAAAAATAAAACTATAAATATTCTATGATTCATAATTTATTAATCGAGTTATAAATCTGTGATCTAAAGCATGATTGTAATATATCATGTTTTATTTCTATATAGCTTTAGCTATACATATTATTACAAATAATAACTATCTTGTATTGTATTATTATATTTTAATATAAATTTTAATAAAATTAGAAAGGTTCCATTTACTAATAAACTACATGTCAAAAAAATCAAAATAACAAACTAGACCTTAAATTTTTAACAACATAGTAATTTGATATAAAAACATTTTTAAAGAAAAAAATTCTTAATTATATGCATGCATAAATAAGTTATTTTACACAGAACATTCACCAAAGCCAACATTTTGCAATATTTATGAATCTGAAACGTTTCATAACATACCAACATATAAATATAATTTAAATAAATAAACAAAATGTTAAACAAAGACAAAGATTTATTTGACTTCTTATCAAATGCACCTAAAGAATTTAGGGAAGGAGAACAAATTAAAAAATATCAAATGAAGAATGGAGATTTTATACACTGTGTTTTGTGGAATATGCATTTTTATTTAACAGGCACTGACATTGTAAAAATATTGTTGTACAGATTTCAAACGTCCGGTAGACAACTTACTAATCTAAAAAAATTTGAGGAAGGAATTTTTAGTGACTTAAGAAATCTAAAGCCGGGCATTGATGCCACGCTAGAAGGTCCAAGGAGTGAGTTTCTTGAATTTTTATATAAAAATGGGTGTATTCGTACCCAAAAAAAACAAAAAGTTTTCTACTGGTACAGTGTCCCACATGATGCACTGTTTTGTGATGCAATGGAAAGAGATATGAGACGAGAAACACAAATGATGTCATATAATAAATATATTAATGCCTCGGGTAGAATGACACCATCTCCTAATTACAACATGATGCGTATGGATAAAATGGGAGAAATTGACCATAGAAATATTAATTACTCACATTTAGAAAATAATACACAGCACTATTTAAAGGAACCTATGCGTATTTTTGATCCAAATATAAATTCTCAAAAATATATTCCTGATTATCTAAGACACACACCTACAGCTCCGATGCGTGTTTATCCAGAATATACTGATTATGAACCTGATCCATTTTATAAGGACAGTTCACTAAAAAATGATATAAATTTTTACGGGAATCATAAACAGATATCACCTTCTGAAATATCAAAGCCACATTCTCGAAAAGATTTATCAATTGAGGATTTTGATTTTTTAAAAGCAAGAATAGATTCTCGATCAAAAGAGGAAGCAGAGAAAAAGAAAAAACTTAATAAAAAAATAAGCCTAGGCGAAAATAGCAGTGATATATTTGGAGGATATTAAGAACTAATAAAGTGTTATAAATATAAAACATGTTTATTGTAAAATATAAAGCGTACATACTGTTAATTTTTTTATAAAAATAAATATACATGCTTTAAATGTTTGTTGTATTAAAGTACTTTAATAAGTTTATAATATTAAGTAATAATTTTGATATGTAAAATATTTATAGACAAAAAATAAAATTTTCATGCAAGACTTATCACAAATCCAATGATTACAAATAATTAGTAATATTCAATGATTACAAACAATTAGTAACATTCAATGATTACAAACAATTAGTAATATTTAATTATTACAAACAATTAATGATCACAAACAATTAGTAATATTCAATGATTACAAGCAATTGATGTTTTTAAAATTTTGCAACAAAGATAAATAATTTTCTTCACTCACTTTAAAAAATTTATTAACAACAAATTGAAAATTTTTCACCAAACTCAGTGAATCATTTAAGTAATTATTTTTTATACATCTATTGAAGTTAGAATAGAAGATATTATTTTATCAGAAAATAACAACTTAAGATCTTCTAATGTTTCAAAAAAATTCCCACCATTTATAAAATCTACAATAGACTGCGCCCTTTTATCACCAACACCACTAAGCTTTTTTATTTGTATAAAATTACCACTATTTAATATATCAAGTACGTCTCTTTTAGTAATTTTACTTTTTGCACCTTTTTTATTTTTTAATTTTATATTAATTTGATCTATTTTTTTCTGTATATCCTCATTGTCTCTGATTTTCTTTAATGTTTTGTAATCATCCAGTGCTTTCTTATAATTTCCTTCATTTTCATAATCTTGTGCTCGCTTTAAAAAAGCCTTATAACTTTTTTCTTGTGTGTTGGGAGTTAAAAGTATCTCAGACTTGTCGTACATAGACGATTTTAAAATAAACGTCGAATCTTCCTTCTTTTTCTTTTTTTTCGGTGTATTTGTTTTATCAGTCAAAGCTAAATTATTTGTTAGTCTTTTATTTGGTTTAAAAGAAGAATGCTTTACTATTGATGTCATTGCACTCCCAATATTTACTATTTTTCTAGATTTTGCTGCAAATTTTAATGTACTTATTGTTTCATCAAGAAAACCCCATTCATCTATAATATTTGCTATAATATAACATAAACTACTTCCTCCTAATGAGTCTTGTAACAGTCTTGTTAATTTACTATCTCTATAAGGAATCCTAATATTTTTATTTAATATAGCATTTACTACATTCCCTAGTACAAATAGACTTTTATTAATATTACTTGACTCTGTCATCCGCAATCCTTTATTTCCTGTTTTTTTATTATTCTCCGAACCTGCTAGATCTATCAAATATAACTTAGCACCATTTAAAGATATTTGTAAAATTGAATGACTTCTGCTACTCGTTTTATTTAAATTTGTCTCTGCGGTTTTTCTATTAATATTTCCTGCAGAAAATACTTTTTTAAACTCTTCAAAACTTTTTATGCTAAAAGTTTTTAAAGAACTTATAACTATTTTATTTTCAAATTCTCGTAAAAATAATTCTTTAGGTTCAAATAAATCAAAGATCTTTTCATTATAAATTTCTATAAATGAGATATTAATTTGGTCATATTCTAATAAATATTTTACAATGTTAAATACAAGACCAGGATCAGTCTCAGTTCCCACCATTGTGTGTGTTTTACCAGCACCCGTATTACCATAACAAAATATTGTGCAATTAAAACCTTCCCTAAATTTATTTATTAAATCTATCATATTTTTAAATAAAATTTGTTGTGTAGTCGAACTAGAAAAAATTTTATCAAATACATATTCTGCTTCTTTGTTATGCTCTGATATTATTTTTATTGTATTTGTTGTATGCATAAATGATTTACCTTTAGACCTTATTCTTATGAAGGACTTTATAGGAATTTGATGCAAAGACATAAATTAAGGGTTTAAAAATAATGCATAAAAATTGAACCCAAACAATATAGGAATTTGATGCATAGACATAAATTAAGGGTTTAAAAAATAATGCATAAAAATTGAACCCAAACAAATGATTACTAGAGTTAACTTGAAAAGAAAAAATAAAAAAAATGAAAAGAACACAACACAAGAACAAAATGAAAAGAATACTACACAAAATACATTAAAAGAAATCAGTATCGAAGATTTAAATTATAAAAAAAAATTAATTTTAGAAAATCTGCACAAAAGATTGACAGATTTTTTTGATAAAATTCCTCGTAATATTTTGGATCTACCGATTTTATCAGTACATCATTCCTATGAAGGAGATTGTAAACTTGTAGATAACAATAAGAAATTAAAAAGAGAATCGACAGTCTCTCTTACTTTTGGAGAGGAATTTACTTTTGATGGAAAAGTATTTCTTGACTCTAAAGGAAAAATAAAGAATAATTCATTAGACACCAACTTAAAAGAATTATTAATAAATGCTAAAAAAATAGCAGATAAAATGGGAAAAGATATGAGTGTATTTATTGAGTGATTATAAAATGAGAAAAGATATGAGTGTGTTTATTGAGTGATTATAAAATGAGTAAAAAATAAATGCATAAATAATGAATATATTATTATTTTATACTTTAATATTAATTGAAATCTTTCGTGATTTATACAAATTAAATATAACTGCTGATAAATTATTTTCAAAAATAAAAAACAATTTATTTCAATATTACATACACAGTAATTAATATCATCTGTAAAATGTAGGTTTGAGATAATAATACGAATCAATGAAAATCTCAATTTACTTAAATGCTTCTTTTATTTTATCACTTTGGTCAGAAAATAGTACTATTATATTCATGTTTTTGTTATATTTTAAACCTTCAACAAGTTTAGGCGAAATAATAAAAAATTGTGTACTTTCATCTTTTTCACAAATATCAAATAGCATTTCTAATACTAACTTTTCATTGTATTTGTCCATACCTTGGTTGATTTCATCAACTAACCTAAATGGTGCAGTGTCAATCTTTTGTAAAGCTAAAAGATACAATATTGTAGAAACAGATTTTTCTCCTCCGCTTTGTCGAAAAGAATTTAACTTTTCTAATTTTTCCGTTTCTCGAAATTTCACTAAAATATTAAGTTTCCATTGTTTACACAATTTATCAACATGTTCAAATTCAATTCTTCCTTGGCAACCTAATTTAGAAAAAAGTTCAATAAATTCAGTATTAATCCTTTCAATAGTTTCAGAAATCTGTTGGCATGTATTTTGTTTTTTATTCAATATATTTTCATTATACGATTTTTTATCATTTTCAAGTTTATTAATTGTTTCTATTAACTTGTCAAGATTATTTTTACTTTCAAGATATTCGTGTTTTAAATTATCATCTACATCATAAAATTTTAATTGTGCAGTCTCTGTACGTATTTCTTTTATTAATTCTTCTGTAGTATTCGGAACTGTTTCCATTTCCACCCTTGTATAAGTTTTTGTCTTTAATGCTTCTTTTCTTATAACAATTTCAGGTTTAAGTCTCTCTTTCAATGTTGTATGTTCAGTTATATTAGATTGAATAATTGTATTTTGACGCTCTATAGCATTTTTACTATTTAAGAGTGATTGTAGTTTGCTAAATTCTGTTTTAATTTCTTTATAAATTAACATACCTTCTTTAAAATTTACAAGATAATTAGAATCTTTTAAAATTAAAATAATTTCCTTATTAAAATTTGTTAAATTATTTTTTATCAATTTCTTCTTTCTATTAATGTCTTTATCAATATTAATTAAATCTTGCTTGTCTTCAGCTTTTTTTAATTCAATACTTAGTGTTTTCGTTTGTTCTATTAATGATTTATAATTATTAATATTGGTTTTTATTTTAATAATTTGATTAGTATGTTCTTTACTTTCATCATAACATTTTTTTAACTTATAATCAATTTTATCTATTTCTTGATGTAATACTTTTAATTCTTCATTATAATTTCTTCTAAATTCATTACACTCCATTAATCTCTTTTCAATATCACTAGTATCAATTTTAGACGAAAAAAGATTCTTTGTTTTAATAACAAAACTTGATATTACAAAATCTTTAGAATTATATTTACTTCGTCGTATTTCGATATATTTCCCATCCATAGCAATTCTTTTAAAAGATGTAGTTTCAAAAATATATTTATCATTAATATTCTTTTTTGTAATTGGAATATTATTTAAATAACAACTCGCTTTTAAAAAATCTTTAACTTCCCTACAAGCATCAATAAAATCAATTGCTAATCCATCAAATCCTATTTTTTTTACTTCCTCGGTTGAATAATAATTACTGGGTGGATTTTTTATAGCTTCTACAATATTAATACCAAGATTCAGTTCATCTTTCAATATTCTACTTAATTTTTCAAAATCTTCCTGATTTTTACAAATAAAAGATGTTAAAGCATGATAACTTAAAAATACTTCAATTTCATTCACAAAGCGTTGATCAGAAATAGTAATATTAAGAAAGGGGGGTTCAATAATTTCATCTTTAAATTGTCCTTTATGCTCTCTTAACCACACAACACCTTTATACGTTTCAAAAGAATATTTTTTTAGTTGCTCTAATCTCCTTTCTTCTGCTTCACTAAATTTCTTCTTTCTTTCTTCAAGTGCATCAACCTCTCTTTTAATATCAAAACATTTCTGATTTATGCTAAATGCTTTATTTTTAAATTTAAACTTTTCATCTTCCAATTTATTTATCTTTGTTTTATCAAATTTTACAAATAAATTATCTAAATTTCTTGCTTGAAAAATAAATGAGAGATCATCACATTTAGCTCGTTTAATAGAAAAATCTTCTTCATCAAGTTCAAAATATTCCATTTTATCTAAAATGCATTGTTTTATTTTTTCTATTTCTTCTTTACTACTTTCAATTTTTTGTTGTAAAATTTGCGCATCTAAATTTCTTTGCTCACGCTTTTTATTAAGATGTTCTAAATCAATATCCAAAAGTGATAAATTTTCCATTTCATTTAGTATATTTTTTTTAATATTTTTCAATTTATCATCAAATGTATCTAACTCATCTATTTTATTATTTAATAAAACATTTTTAGGATTTTTTTCAATATTTTCGATTGATTTATTAATATCTTCTATTTCTTTATTGTTTGCTTTTAAATTATTTTCTAATGTCTTTATTCCTTGATCCAATCTTTTATAATCACTAACCATAGTTTCATATTCCAAATACATTTTTTTACTTTCCATTATGTCAATTTTCTTTTTCTTAATATCCCTTTCATTTAACTTTTCAACATCATTAGTAATTTTTTCTACAATTAATTGCATTTCTTCCTTTTGTTTTATAAGTGCTAATTCTTTAGTATTAGTATCATTTAACTTTGTCTCTACGTCATTAATAAATGTAATATTTTCTAGTAAATCTTGACGTTTTAAACTAGTTAACGTTGAGTATAAAAGTTCTTCATTACTCATTCTACAAAATTCTGCCACTTTTTCTTGTGGTAGATATTGACATAAATTATTAACATCTACATTAAATTTAGAAATAAACTGTTCATATATTCCTTTTTTAACTATTTCTCCATTTACATACCAAAAATTATTTGCTATACTAATACCTCTACCAATTTTATAAATTTCACCTTCATAAAATACTTCTGCTTCGATTTTACAATCATGTGCTCCAAATCTTATGTATTCTTTCAAATTTTTTGTTTTACCGATTGTTTTTGGAGTTCCTCCAAATATTAATGATAAAGCATTACTGATAGTAGACTTTCCAGATCCATTTGGTCCTATAATAAAATTTAGTGATGGAGAAAATCTTATTCTTGATGATTTAAAAGTTTGAAAGTTTGTAAGATAAAGTGAAATGATATTTCCATTTTTAAATTTTCTTTCATTATCCATAAGGGGGTAATTATTTTTTAATTCTATTCTTTTTAATTGTGTGTGATCGTTAAATATTATGCATGCATATTTTTTTGAAATATTTTTATAACAATTAAAAATTCATACTACAAAAAGAAGTAATTTGTAAATAAATTCATACTACAAAAAAGATGTTATTTGTAAATAAATTCATATACAAAAAGAAGTAATTTGTAAATAATGATAATTATTAATATGTTATATTTAAATAATGATAATTATTAATTGTTATATTTAAATAATCATTTTTTATCTGTTTATATGTATAAACATTATTTTTGGACCCTAAAATGGCTGTTCAGGATTCCGCAGCAAGAAAAAGGCTAATAAAAGAATACACAAATATGCAAGAAAAAAAGAAGAATTCAGACAATAATGATAGTACATTAAAATACATTCATATAGAACCTGTTTTAAATGGTGATCTTTTTACCTGGGAAGCTATTCTTACAGCACCAGAGTGGTCAGTTTACAGTGGTGGGAAATTTAAATTGCACATTAACTTTCCTCCAGATTACCCTTTTAAGGCACCAAAGATAACATTTTTAAGTCCTATTTATCATCCCAATATAAATTCAAAAGGAGCTATTTGTATTGATATTTTAGGTGATGGATGGTCTCCTGCTCTTACAATTGATAAAGTTTTAGTGTCTCTTCTTAGTTGGTTAGATGAACCGAATCCAGATGATCCTTTGCGCAATGAAGTGGCTGACACTTACAAAAATGATTTTGAAGAATACAAAAAAAGATGTAAAGAAAGTGTTAAGAAAATGATGAATGACAAAAATCTATAAATAAAAATTCAAGCATATTAATTATTTTTGTTAGTAAATTTAAATTATGGTTCACTTGTTTTCCTTAACTTTATAATTATTAAAAATTATATACTTAACGCATACAGCTATTTAAAAATTTTTATATTTGATAGGCCAAAAATATAAAATTAGTAAATGATCATCACAATCACATGATCCAAAACAATTAAGATTATATGGCATGTTTTAAATATAATTGTTAGTGCTGACATTGTAAAAATATTCAAGAATTAAAAGTTGCTGTAGTAGAAAAATGAAGTAGGATACAAAAGGAACTATGTCAAAAGTTGGTATTAGAACGCAAAAAAGGTATGAAGCAGCAACTGAGGAGAGAGACGATCATACAAATTATTAATCAAAAAACTCTATTTTTTATTTTTCTTAAAATTTATTTTTATTAAAATCATACGGCTATTTTATATTGAAAATTAAACATTACACACACGTGAAAATGTATTTAAAACATATGCATTAAATCTTGGTTATATATAAGTGATGACAAATGGAGAAGTTTAGAAAAAGGAAATTTATTTTTTTGTTTCGCTATTCTATCTCTTACAATAATTATGTGGAAAAATTTAACAATTTTTTATGTAAGAAAATAATGGTATACATCTATTTATAATTTAATTATAGGCAAGTTAATAATTTTAGATTATTTTAAAAAAAAGAAATATTTTAGTCCGAATTTGTAAAAAATATGTATAAAAGATTCGGTAAAAAAATTAAAAATTCACAAATTAAATATTACTAATTTTAATAATCAACTGAAATTAATGACTTGTATTTACAATTTAATTTAAAAAAAATTAGGTGGTTTTTTTGCAAAATTGTGACTTACTTAAAAAAAAAGAATAAGAGAATTTTATAAAAAGTATAAGTTGAACAGTAAATAATTTTATTTTACAATAATAAACTTCTATAGTATAGATTTTTGTTCCCAAAATGATTTCAGTTTATTAAAATTAAAGCTTCGATTAGAAATATTACCAATGTTATTTTTTTCTACCTCACAATTTTCAATTTCACATTTTAAATTCTCATATTTATCTAGAAGTCCTTTAAATCTACTCTTTACATTATCAATTACATTAGATTCATCATTTACAACATTTTTATTTGAATTACC